ATGTAAAGCGCTGCTACTGCTTCAGTGACATAAAATTATTTTCTTTCTGTCAAACAAACCTATTTGTTTAAAAAAAAAGTTTAGCATTTCTCAAATGTCTCCTTGCTAGCTATGACATAAAAGGGCTAAAACATTCAGTAGAATGTTAAGAACAGTTCTTAGTTTACTGGAAGGTCTTATTACAATTTAAAGAACCACAGGAACATGACAAATAAAACACAAGTCCAAATATTTGGGAGAAATAATAATGACTGCCAAACAGAAGAGGCCCTTGATTAAAAAAAAAAAAAAACAGAGTTGTCCCTGGACAAACGCAAATTGATTGATTGGAACTATAAAGTATAGAGATGTCTGAACGGTCAGCTTAGGCCTGAGGTCACTTCGTTTGTTTCACACTGTGCTGCCTCAGTGGTAAATCATCAATTCAGCCCCATGCGGCTACACGCAAAGACTGGTTTCGTTCAATCTCATTTGCTTTGCACGCCTCATGTGTTCATTAGACCAGAAAACCATTTGTTATCTGTTTCCTTTGTAGAAACACTCATGAATCAGTCTCACTAAGAATTTACAAACACAGAAGCGCCTCAGCAATTACCCCAAATAAACACATATGGAACAGGATAAGAATGTACTAAAACATACCTCCACATACTTAGACAGGGGGCTGAGAATGTAAAAATATTAAAATGGAACAAAATCCCTGTAAATGGTTGTATTTGAAATTAGATACATTACTGAGAAAAGTATTTACGCCCCTACAGTTATTTGTGTTTACTTTTTCATCAAAGTTTTGTTTCAGAAATGTAATTAGATCTTTAAGTATATACAATAGGCCATTTTTGATTTTTCTGCTGTTATGTTAATCCGATTATTATTTGTAATAATACTTTAACACCATTCAAATGGGGGGGGGAATTTTTATAATTAACCATCAACCATCAATTTAATGTCTGCATCCTTTTCAGTGTATCTGTCTATTTTTTTTTTTATGCTGAATATGTTTTTTAGCTTCTACAGTCAACGTGCAATTTATTCAGTGACAAATGGATGCCTCGTTACTAATTTAGAATGATTTGTTTAGTTGTTTATATTTAAACATGCTCCCAGAAACTTACTGATATATCTTAAAGCTGTCAGCAGTTCAACAGCTGATGGCAAGTTCAGGCTGGTTTTGGACATACCTGTGGCTTTCACAGCAAAGCATCAGAGAAAGCGCTCCAGCTTTTGGCAAATCATGTCTATTGTCAGGGGCTTGCCTTAGAATAATGACTTTAACCTCAACTTAATTTTTAATAAATCTTTGATAATGATATTAAGAGTAATTATGGTGGAAAGATGCATTTAGGGTAATAGGAATAAAGAGTTGAATTGATATTAGCAGATAATTAATAGGAGTCATTTGAAGAAAAAAAAGGTATTTATCACTCATAACAAGGAGGTTTTTCTTCCTTCTTGGTCTTTATTTCCCTCTTCTTAATCATCTTTCTTTTTTCATCTTGTTTTCTTTTCTGCTTTTTAGATTTTGCTTTCTTTTTCCTGTGCTGTTGCTCACCCAAGGCTGTCTCTTCGCCTGAACGTCCTCTTGAAGGGCTATTCATTGGTTTTTCAATGAAACCCTATTACATTTGTGTGCAAGTGTGGATGAGCGTGCATGAGTCAGAAAGAAAAATAAAGAGAGGGAAAGGTATTATGGGGGCTGTGCTACAGTACCATCTGTATGCAAATCTCCAGTCTTTGGTAAACTTTGATCAAACACTCAGGCCTTCTTTTCTCTTCTTGTGCTCCCTCCCTCCCTCCTACCCTCTCCTGCTTCACTGTCCGCTGTGTGTTCTGCAATTACTGTAGCTCTTTGTCACTCCTGCATATTACTCAGTCAGGACAGGCGCTCCCTGAAGGAACTGCGCCTGTCCCACTAATGCCCGCCCTTGTTTTCTGCCCCAGCGCCCCCCTTAACACCCTCCACACACACAGTTCTGCTCCTCTATTTACCTTAACTCCTACGCACACCCCTTTCAAAACACCTGCAACAGTGCTGAACCCCACAACAGATGGCAACAGGCTCTCATGACACAAACGCACAATTCCTCTCAGATAGCGGCGCTGCTGGCAAACAGAGCCCAGTGTGATGCATGGTTGATGCTTTTGTGCAGAGATTTTGGCTCAGACACACATATGCAAAGACATATACAGAAAGCTTTGTTTTCCTCCATATGGGAAGGTTGACATTTTGAATACAGATCTCGTGACTGAAGAATAATAAAAACATTGAAACAAGTGTTTGTTGATTACTCTAATGAAGAGTTCTGAGGGATGACACCAGCACACGGGCAACAGACACAGGTCACATTATCTTTTGTGCAGCTTTAATGTTCTTTCATCATTGCAGCAAAAGCCCTTTAGATCTGTGTCATGAGGAGCTCTAGGCAGCCAGGATGGTCACTGAGCTGAAAGAAAAGCCTAGGCCATATGTTTGTTAAACATAGGAGATGACCACTCAAATACATCAGCTCCCAGCTAAACCAATTAGTCTCATTTCAGAGAGCTTAACAACAGACAGTGAAAATGTGTCAGTAGTGAGTGTGTGTCAGAAGAGGAAGCGATTTAAGCATATCCAAACAGGAAGTGTGATACTGGACACTGCTGTATGGGTATTTTTAGTTCATATTACCATCTAATCCCATTGTGTGTCTGTTAGGATATATTGTTTTGCTTTTCCCTCCTGTTCACTGCTATTGTCAGTGATTTTCTTCTATAACCAAGTAGGATAAATTCAGCAGACAGATGGTGAGGAAAGTCCCGGGAGAGGACACAACATGCACACATAGATAGATAAAGACGCCAGACTCCTGCTCTATACATGCACTGTAAGAGCACACAAAGACACCAGACCCCTGTTATGTAATCCAGCAGCCCCCACCACCCCCTGTGAGAGGCTCAGTCTTCGGCTGTCTACCCTCCAAAGTCTGTCTTTAGGCACAGTGAGGTCACCTCTTTGAAGGTTTTATTCAACTGTTCCATATGCAAACTGTTAGATTAGTTGCTCAGCTCTCAAGCAACCTCTGAGTACAAAGGTTTACACCAAAAAGATGATGTAAATATAAGTGTGTTTTTTTGTTTTTACTTTTTCTCTTTTATTCTATAGTAAAAATTAGGGTAGCTTTTAGTGAAACAACAGATTTTGGGAATATTTTAAAACCCCAAAAATGACCAAATTTGCAGCATAGTGGCAGAAGAAAGGGAAACAGGAACAAGTCCTGAAGACATTGGACCTGAAAACTGCATAAAACCCAATACATCTCTCAAGTTGAACATTTGGTAGGTTTGCCGATGTGTTACAAGCTTAAAGCTGCAAAAAGAGACAACTCAATGCTGAGGTACTGTCCGTCTGAAAGATTTAATGAGATGAGGATTAAAACTACCTCTATAGACAACTGGATGCCTAATTAATGCAGCATAGTAGAAAAAACAAGAAATTCAAAAGAAATGAAACATTAAGGTGGACCCCAATGGAGATGCAAATATCTTTATAGACATATTTCCGATTTATTCTTCTTTCAGCTTGTTTGTCATGTGTATGTTATTCTAAAGAATTCAGACTGTAAATGTTCTCCTTTCTGGTTACCATTGGTCCATCTTTTTATATAAAATCCAATTAATCTTAACATTATAGCCATTATGGGTCTCATTATTGCTCTGCTGCAGAGGAGCCCCAAGTGCACAAACTGTGATGCAGTTTATACCCAAACCTCCTTCAAAAATATTTCCTTCTTTAGTGATTTCTTATTGTTGCAAAAGTCAGCTTTTTTTTCTGATGATCTGAATGTTTTGCATTTTTTAAAACTTAAACTAACATAAATCTTTACATTTTTTTTCACTTTTTCTAATTCTAAATGATGCCATTGTGGAGACAAAAATGTGCGTTATATTCTAATGTTATTGGTCAACATGTTTCGTTTGGCTGATGTATGGCAGGTGTGCCAAAGTTCAGTCCTCCAGAGCATCAACCCTGTAAGTTGTGGATGATTGAGGTGTTTTGATGAAAAAAAATGCATCTAAAGGGTGCAGGAAGGTAGTCCTTGATGACTGGATTTAGGAGCCCCAGATGGATGGCATACGCTTCTTTTGTTTAAGTCATTCAAATTTATTTCAATTCTATTCACATTTATCTTATGCCTCAGATGAGGACAAGATTATCTTAAATAAAAGATTTTGGGGGTTTTACTCCACATCACATAGATCTGGACAAGAAACTACATACATTTTGGTACTTAGTAGGCAAATTGAGCATAAAGTAAATGAAGATGATCACTGGCCAAAATTGTATAGCATCCAAGATTGTGACTTTCTTAAATTGAATTATCATTTCTATTTTTTATGCAGTGTTTTTCTCCTTGCTGTGTAGTTTCCTCTTTGTAAACTACACTGACCAGAGGAATAGATTTCCCTTTCAGGTATCTCCAGAAAAAAGTCTTCTTCCAGGCATCTGTAAGGCACATTGGACCAGGGGCCTAAATGAGGAGGGGAAGAGGGCAAAGCCATGTGGCTGATGTTGGTAAACAGTATCGAGGCTTGTCCTGGCATCATGACAGGCAGCGCACAACGTCGGCAATATCACAAACTGAGGGCCACACACAGACAACGACAAAAGGTAGACACACATAGGGACGTTTGTATTCATATTCACACATACACACACACAGGCAGGAATACACAAGACCGCTAAGAAATAAAAGACTCACTCTCGTGTCTGCTACTTAGCAGCTGCTCCAGTTTCCATGGCAGCAGCCTGAACAATGTAGCGGGAAGAGCTGAGAGGGAAATAGAGAGATGTGGAAATGTGTGCACTTGTGTGTGTAGGCGTGAGTGTGAGAGGCTTGAGAAGGGGGGAGGCAGCCGCAGGGTGCAGAGACAGGATTTAGAAGACGCGTTCTGTCTTTGTCAGGATGAGGCTTCAAAAAGGAGCAAAAAATTTACAGAAATTTGGAGGCAAGACACAGAAATAAAACATCAGGAAATTTTGTCTATTTATTTTTCAAAATGAGGTATTTCAAAAGTGCTATGAGTTGCAGCACTAAAGGTACATTTTATGTAGTTAAAAAACAAACATATCATTTTACCCAGTTCTATGCACCCGATAGTTACAAATATCAACAAAAAAGAGAGAGAAAAAAACTGAATAAGTCCAGATATATGAGGATAGAACGCATCTGCTGTACAAAAAATTGTCTGATAGAAGAAAAATGACGAGATAAAGTGATATCTACCAAGAATGCATTCTCTTACGAAAATATAAGTATCAAATTTAGTATGTATCACACTAAAAGCAAATAAATGTGTAAAATGTAGTGATATACAAAAGGAGAAGAAAAATATGCAGTTATATTACAAAAGTTTTTCTGACTCTCATAAACTGAGACTTTACAGTACATTTAAAGGTATAAAACTTCCAGTCCAGTTATTGGCAGCTTCCTGACTTGAATATAAAAAAAGAAAACAAGAATGAAAGTGTAAATATAAAACAAGGCAGATCTGAGTGTATTTTTGTCTGTACACTATTATTATATACAAAAGTGTCGCCTAGCAAGGTGCACAGTTACACATCAACTGACTTGGTTTGAGCACCAGTGTGAGAAAAGTGAGGGGAAAAGGACCTGTAGTGGCATTGTTCGTGTCTGCTATGACACCTCGGTCATCAGTTTTTTATTGTTTTGTTTTTCAGTCTTGCAGTGATGAAGGCAAAGGTAAGCGTGCACCGCTCTCCAAGCAAAGTGCCCTCCAACACCTATCCCCATGTGGAATCACTTGATTCCAGGCTGGTGTCACAGTGAATACAAAACAAACAAACAGACAAACATATACGTAGAAATTATATAAAAAAACAAAACAAAAAAAACAACAAGCGGAGGGAGTCAAGACTGAACACAATGTGTCTCCCTCCTCATTCTTTCTCTTTTTGTCTTTACTCAATGTGACTGGATTGAAAAAGTAAACCCTAAACATTCTTAACGTCAACAAATGTGCAAAAAAAGTGGCTGCAGTAAAAGTCCGAGCATTCCTCCAGTAAAGCCCCCCATGCACCCGCTTCTCTCCACTCTTCCACGTTTGTATATCGGCATCTGAAAATAAATGTCCTCTGAGATATTAGTGTTTCTGCGTGCAAAGGTCCAACAGATATAAAGGCCTGTGTATCTGTGCTTAAGTGTATAGGCCTATGTCTGGAGGTGAGGGTTGGTGGGGGGGTTAAGGGGGTCCTCCAGGGTAGAAGTGAGGGTTTTTATGTTGTAGAAGTTGTCTGTCAGCGAGTCCTAGTCTGCTCCAGCCTGCGCATGAGCTGTTGCCTGCGAGCCTGGAGTCTGTCCTTCTCCTGCTGGAGTCTCATCTCCTCTGTCTCCAGTGAACAAACATACTCAGTTGCCTTCTTCAGGATCAGCACCTTTGCAGCCTTCTCATTGTGCGCCAGCTCTGGCACATGGTCGCGTAGCGTCAGGAAGCTAGAGCGCAAGTCGTTACGGCGCTGGCGCTCCAGGATGTTGTGGTTTCGCCTCCGCTCGCTGTCCTCAGAGTCAGAGCTGCCGCGCGGACTGCTGTCTCCACTGGCGCTGCGCTTTCTGCGCAACCCGGCAACACTGGAGGCAGAACTGCAGGACAAGGAGGAAGATGTGGAGGATGTTGAAGCGGGTCTGGTAGGAGGCCGCGGTGCCTCTGATGTCTTCTGTTTCTTTGGCGGTGGGGTTAGGTCGTCATCTGAGGCATAAGGTGATGGGGCTGCGTAGTTGTGTTGCTGCTGATGGACTGAGCTCCTCTTCAGGATGAGCTCCTGAGGACTACGGCTGGTGAACCGGTTCACAACCCCAGCACCTGAGACAATCCCTCTCCCATCTTGGCTCTTCGGATAACCAGAGATGGTTCCTAAGCCCGTGGCCATTGGGGAAGTCTTGCTGATTGTGGAGCGCCTCTTTTCTACTGTTACTACATCAATCTCTTCCTCCTCCTCTTCCTCCTCCTCCTCCTCCTCCTCCTCATCTTCATCATCATCTTCCTCTTCTTCATCTTCCTCTTCTGGGAAAAGAAAAAATGACTTCATCACTTAAAAGACAAAAAATCTCACTATGCAATATATCTGTAACAGCAGGTAAAAGGTAACAGTTTTCATAAATTCATGAGATCAACAGCGGAATGTGTGTGGGAGAGGACGTTTGCTTAATATCTTAATACTTAGTATCAGTCACTTCTCCACTAATCTGCTCTGCAGGCATTGGCATGTTCATACTCAACACTGAGCAGACAGGCTGGAGTTCTTTGTTGTCTTCCAACTCCCTTCTTCAAAACGTCTCCTAATCTTCTTCAGCGAGATGAGACAGTATTAGTCTAATGCTGCCAGTCTGTTGCTGCAACCCTGGTAATACTTCAGTGTTTGAGATTGTAAAAGGGCTTTAATAGAGTAACACTCAGCATATGGCAACCTAGGCATATGTTGGGTACTGTTTTTGAGGTATACCAAGGTTTTAACAAGATTTTTACTCAAAACCACTAAAATATGTTTGAAGTCGGTTTACTGCGATGCCAAAGAATGTGGTGGAGAGATCAGGGTTTGTTTGTTTTTGTTTTTTGTAGGTTACAAACTCAGTTCACCTTCCCCACTTGTTATTGTGCACTGCCAGTCAGCTGGCTGACAATACTAAAGTTAATACTTTATTTTCATACCTGCAATGGGCGCTAATACAGCTATTGTGAAGAACACAGATAGTTCAGGTCTCATGTTGAAAGAGCACTGCACGTAAACTGAGGTAATGATATGTTAAACCTACAGTCGGTGACTTTTTTGTTAATTATCCATAAGAGATACTATGAATATGACTTCTACTTGTTTTTTTAAAGGCGATCGTATTATGAGAATCCCATTCAAGCCAGCTTAAGAAGAATAAAATAGTCTTGAGCTCTACTGACCATGTTGTCTTTTGTTAGTGTCTGGAAGTGAGTAAGTGGGAGGCAAAGGGTGTGACATGCATTTAAAATACCTATGTGATAATGGCTTTCATTATCAGCTTGGGAGCATCTGTAGAGTGTGGCATTTTACAGCTTATGGTAACCCACTTCAGACACCAGACACACATGCTGATCGCTCATACAGACTGCTGCTGACATCAAAACATAGCAAGGAACAGCTGGCTGGAGGAAGGGAGGAAGCTGGGAAGGAGGTGTGGCTGACTCTGTCACACGTGAGTTTCTTTAGCTTTTCACTCATAGAAAGGAACAGCTTACTGAATACCTGGGAGCTGTTTTATGTGCTTTCATTAGGCAACCGCACTGTTTACCTGATTTTTGTTTTTATGAACAAACTTGGTTAAAAAGAAAAAAAAAATGGGCATAGCAATAATTATAACCCACTATGTCTGTTCTTTTATTTATCCATTTATCCTTTTATTAAAAAAAAGCATAGACTAAATAGATAATGGACAGGACTGAGGGTGGTGTAGGGCAGCAGGCCATCGGATCACCGCAATTTAAGCCACAAAACTGGAGTGGCGCCAGGAAGACAGCTGTCGAGAAGGGAGCACTCTTTCAAAGCTTTCCTCCACCCCGCCCACCCAAAAATAAAAAGAACAGGAGAAGAAAAAGTCAGGACTCTCCTCCTCTGTTTACTTTCCATCAGTGCTGAGGTGACTGGTTTGGAGTCTGTGCGAAGCCTGAAGCATTTTGTTGAATTGTTTTCCATGCAAAAACACACAGATATAGACTTGTTTGAATGTTTGTTTAAGCAATACAAGTTTTTCAACCTAATACTTAATTACTTCCTGTAATAACGTTGTAAGGAAAAGGTGTGCGCTCCTTTGCCCTTTAATTTGATAATACTTTTCATTTATCAGTTTATGATGGGCTGTTTAACACATAGGGGGGCATTTCTCCCCCACTGCGCGCAACGTTTCTCCTTCATCCATGCGCAATGAAAGCCTCACTACACGCTTTTTTCAGATCATCACATTATTGAACACCTTCTCATCTCCCCCTCCTGCAGCCTGCTGGTCTCGTTTTTTTTTTCCTCCTTTTTTTGTGGTTTTGCATCTGGTGCCAACTGAGTTCACTAAAGCGCACAATTCCCTATTTTACTGCCATCTGCCGGATGAAGAGCTCGCTGATTACATAAACCCATGGTTCACTGTGTCACTACTCCACTGTGTGTTTATGCGTGTGTAATTGCAGCCTTGTGTGTGTGTTTTCTTTGTGTGTGTGTGTGTGTTCGCGCGTGAATGTGACGGAATAATCCGATTCTGGGCCAGTCATATGAACAAGATCCTGCCTCTTAGATACGCCTGAGCTTCTAGTAACAACAATGGCACGAGTAAAAGACTTAAAAGATGTCTGATATACTATTTTTTAAAAAAATGTTTTTCTTTCATAGGAGCCATCAGTTTGATCTGATTCTTACCAGAGTCGCTGGCTGCGCTCCCATGCATTGTGGACGCAGTCACAGTCCCAGATGCGTCCCTGCTGCTGCTCTTCTTATTCACTGGGAAGGGGAACACTATTGCTGGGTCCACACACTCCGACACTGAGCTGCGGCTGACCACCTCCGGGACCTTTACGTACGCACTCCTCCCCCCTGTCGATGCCGTTGAAATCGCCTTGCCCAGTTTTTCCGTTACCACCCGTTCGAGCTTTTCCCTGGCCGAGAAGCCACTCCACATACAGTCCTGAATAATGATGTTGTTGGGGTTTGTATCCAAAGCGGAGCCGAACAGGTCCCCGTCATCGGATGTTCCCCATATATCGTCCCCGGGCAGCAGCAGCAGCTCAGAAGCCCAGTCCAGGGGGTCCCCTAAGCCGAAGCCGAGGGGGTCTGCCTCCGGGGAAGCGCTGGTGGCCGCCGGCTCACCCGGTAGCGCAGCGCGGCTTGGAGAGAGGGGCGGAGTAGGCAGCAGCTCGAATTTCTTCCAGATGTCCTCCCCCGGTGGCGCAGCATCGGGACCACAGAGGTAGAAGTCGTCCTCGTCCGGATAGAAACATGGTTGCAAGGAATCAAACTCCAAATCGGAGTTTTTACTACTGATCGCCGGCATTCTATCCAACAATCGACAATCCTAGGAGAGAACAAGAAAGGTTCAGTCAGCGTGCATTGTTGAGCGTCTTTTTATGTTTACCTAACAGAAGTCCGCTGCAAAGAGAGGTCGAATGAAAAGCCCACACACAGATTCCCAACTGCTTCCAATGTGGGCTTTAAAAAACCGCACATATCTTAGAGGAGTGTGTGCGTAAATGTGCCCATGACGCACAGACAGGAGGCAAAATAAATGACTACACTTATGAAAAAACAAACAAAAATAAAACAGCTTTTTCGGCTGAATTTATATTAAATAACAAGAATCTGATATGAGAACAATTTAGAGAGAAATATATGAAAAAAATAGATATATAATGTAACGAATAACGGTTGAAATGAGACGCTCACCTCGTCCTGACTTGGGATTAAAAAAAGTCAATCAATATTTCTTCTATCTTGCAGTAAGCAGCTAATACAGACACCAGATTTGGAGCAGTCATCTACTTCTGAAGCCAAGACGGTCCTCTGACACTCATTGTGGGTCTCTACAGAGTGTTATACACTTTAGTTTTGAGGGGAGGAAAGTAGGCTCCTCCCACACGGGCAAGTGGGGGAGGGACAATGCCCACCTATGCTGTGTGTGAACTGGGATGCAGCGCGGGAGTAGACGCTGGCTATGAGCTTTATTCCAAGGTGAATGAAGAAACGACGCTGTAATATTGAAAGGAGGAAGCCAGAAAGAGATTCTTTAAGACAGTGTTGGGGGAAAAATAGAAATAAAAGATGTAGAAAATTATATAGTATTGGGAGCTTTGTGATCTGATGCATTTCTCAAATTGTTAATAAGCTCTGCAGCAGGCTGGGTGTCGCTTTATTGATTTCTAAAATATTATTGGCTTCTATATATATGTAAACTATATATTTAAACAGCTCACTGTATTCATAACAAATATATCCCCATAAATAATTTGAATAGTTGAACATAGATGTTTATATATGTTGTAAATTTCATAATATAATTTTCTTTAACTGTAGTAATTTGGAATAATATACAGTTTTGATATAATTCATTAGTTTTTATCCATCCTTTCTTTCCTGTAGAGCTCTAAATATTTTGTCTTTTGTCTAAGGGGGAACCAGTATTCCAAGACTGCAGACAAAGCACGGGGTTCACTTGCGCCCTCTCGTGGACGAAAAAACTTCGATTTGGATCCTCATCATCAAACAAAGACACAAACACATAGAGAATTTTTTTTTTTTTTTTTAAGGGCGAAAGGAAATCCGGAAAAAAAAAGCCTTTAAGAGAATGCTAGGCTGTTAGGAAATTATCCTCTAAACAGATAGTTAAAAAAAAAAAGAAAAGAAAAAAGACAGAAACAGGCTTTGCAGGACGGGGAGCTTTGAGATGCCTTCGGGATAAAGACAGAAGAAGAGGAGAGCATGTTACGTAACCGCAAGCGGTGGTTGTGCCCTGGAGTTGTTCCCATTCCCTTTTCTAATGAGAGCTTAGGAGGAGCTGCTCATCTGTAATTATGCACAGGCGTATACATAGTTCATGATATGGACTTATTTTCAGGGTAAACGTTTACAAAACGGCTTTTAACTGAACCCCAGCTGGGAATGGAACGAGTGAGAAGTTCAATCAATTTTCAAACAGATTAAATTAAGTAGGCCTACAATAAACTTTAAGGAGTTTTTTTAAAAGAGTATTGCACTTAATACACAACTCAAGTGCTAATTTATACTGTATTGTCATAAAGGTATTGATTTTATAGCTATGGGTTTAAGTTCTAACAATCAAACCCAGGAAAGTGAGTATGTGCAGCTGTTTGGTCTTCAGGCTTGGAAATGCAGGGAGTTTCCTGGGACCATCTCTGCATTCAGCTCCCAGGAACTTGGAGACGGGATGGCCATGGAGTCAGTAACTCCCCACAGGCTCTTACATGTCCGCTCCTACTACTTTTTCACAAACTGGTGCATAGCTGAGACCCTCCAACAGCAATAGAGGCCCCCTCAGCTGTGAAACAAGACCAAGAGGGGGAGTGAGAACACTTTGCCTGTTCTGTCAGGATAAGCTTTGTGTGATTTATCTATAAATATAATATCTGTATCAATAACTGTATACATAATATCTTAAAATAAGTATCTGTATAAATATCTGTATAATCATCTATCTATCTATCTATCTATCTATCTATCTATCTATCTATCTATCTATCTATCTATCTATCTATCTATCTATCTATCTATCTAACTCTTATTGTAACAAGAATAACATCATCCTTTGGGCTGAGCTAAAACATAGCTTTGAAGCAGTTATAAAATGATCAAAAGTTTTAAACCATAAATGTATATTGACTTATATTCTTACTTTAAAAAAATTCTTACTTTAACTACTATGATATTGAAGTTGACCTTTTGTCAGGCTTCTCTTAATTAGCTAAAGGCTTTGACATACAGGTTCAACTAAACTTAATTTACACAAAACCAACAGGGGGAAAGCGAGTTAGCAACTGAAGGTAGGCTATCATGTGGTTATATCCCTTAAACATAGTTTTACTTGAAAAAGAATCACAGACTTTGAGGGAATTGTCTATATGTTGGTGGATTAGTGAGTGTAGTAGAAACAAATGAAGTATTTATCCACTCTAATGAATACCACAAATAAAAATATCAAAAAAGTTTTTTTTTTTTCTTAATAGATTTGTATGGCATATTGAAAAGATATGCGCATCCTCCAATCAGTTTGTAGTTTGAATGAAGTTTAGGTAAAAGAGACATGTCACATGGAGGTAAAGTAGACTCTGGCCTCTTTGCTTGTTGTTTTTGTGATAATCATGGCATCCCCAGCTACCATTCACCTCTGGACTGGGCTATGGATGGTTAAGCAATTAGGCCAGTTTTGATAAAAGATTTATAAGTCACACTGGTGAATCATGCAAACACAAGCATGTTGTGAGAGAAATCTGCCTCAATTACACAGAGACCCACTGTGTTAGGTCAGACAGGCAGCACGCACATCAGCACAGCTGCCTACAAGCTCGGTGCTGTGATGCTCTTATCAGTGCAAACAAACAGCAGAGCAGAGGGTTTTGATCATGTAATAAGGTCTGATGATACAGTTATCTTATACTCTACATTCACCTTTAATAAGAAGAACATTTACAATATATGCGGCTTATTGACTTTTTGTTGAGCCATTTGAAATATTCTCAACATGTTTTATATTTCCTACTTCAGTGTAAAATCTTAATCCATGATTTCTGTCCAAAACTCTTTATTAGATATACTTGTCATCTTCAATATAATTGCCGTAGACAATAAATTAGTTTCTAAAAACGCTGATCCCAGAAAAGAAAAGTCTTTGTTATAAGTCTACTTAATAACATTTAGAGACTCATCTTAGAAGATTCCTAACATGCTGCACATGCAAAAAGTTGTTGTGTTGCAGGTCATCTGCAAAGATTGCTTGCAGAAATGTTAAGGCATGCAAACTGGCTTTCTTCTGCTGTATTTAAATGAGCAGATTTTGTGTACCACTGGTAGCTTGAGAATTGTTGTAAAAGAAAGAAGAGGTTCTAAGCCATGTAGTTAGATGTAATAATTATGATAATTATTTAAAAACATGATAAAGATAACACAGGCTGCACACTGTTACGCTGAAAATGGATGGATGGGTAATGATAACACTAAATATTTTTATAGTATACTTCACATAGACAGCATGTGTCACAGTCCAATGAACAAAATAAAAAAAACAGCAGGGCAGCTGTGGCTACGATGTAGTTTGCCATCATCCATGTGTGGGGGTGTGCTTGAACGGAAGAATGACTGAATGTAGTGTGAAATACTTTGGTCAAGTCTCCAGACTTGAAAAATTGCTATATAAGTACAGGCCTTTTACCATTTACCAAAAGAAATATGAATAATTGAGATCTGACCAGGGTGTAACCCGCCTCTCGCCCATAGACAGCTGGAGATAGGCACCAGCAACTCTCGTGACCCCGCTTGGGATAAGCGTAAAGGAAAATGGATGGATGGATGGATGATGCTGAAATGTTTGTATTTTAATAAATAAATCATGCCATTGGTAAACTTTAAAGTTAATTAGACCAAAATGTGTTAGCTGTAATGTTTAAATGCCACAAATCTTTGTAATTTGATATATGTTTGTTTCTTAAGCAAGTTGCTTCCAAAAATATTCTTGGCTCGCTATCTCGGCTCTAAGAGTGTTGAAAATCACTATAATTGTAAAGTTATATACTTAAATAAAAGCAGCGTACTTCACCATTACTGGTAAAAAAAAAAAAAATTGTCTCAAGAATGTATGTACCACTACAAATAATCACTTTCTTTGAAAAAATATTGCTTGTTTTACATTTTGTGTGCTAATGAATGTTTAACATTTACCCAAACAGTATACATAAAAGAGGAAATAAAAGAAGGTGTCATTTTTTCTTTTACAAATAGACAACTTGAAGTTCTCTGTCAGCTTCTTTGTTTTGACCCCAAAACATTGGAAAATATATATTCTCTCTAATATTCTCTCTAAGTAACCTTTTATCATCAGGTATTAGTTTGCTCTTTATTCTAGTATCTCAACATGTATTTTCAAGTATTGTAATCCTTGCGTTGTATTTAGCTCAGTCAAACATTCTTAACATCAAAGTGAAGGGGAAATCCACATATAAATCCTGGAGTGATTTAAGTGGCCAATATGCTGACCTGGACAGCATTTAGTCAATGTATACCACTAAGTCTTTTCTTCTTTAATCATATCATGTCAGATTCCTGAGTGACATCTTCTCCTAAAACAAATCTTCCATTATGAAGCAGTCGTGTTTGTCCTTGATGATCCACACCATTAGATGTCAGCTTCAGCAAAGCCTCAACCCCACAGACTACACCCACACAGTGGAGTTTACATACCCTTCCTCACTCCGTCACTTTCTACTTTTTATTCCTTACAAAAACATGTTCACACTTGTGATGTTTTTATTCTAATGTTGACACCTTGCAACAACAACAACAACAACAAACTTCAGTGTATTTTTGTTCATAGAATTTGATGAATAAAAATAGGAGAAGCATTTGTTTTCAGCACCCATTCCAGCGTTTTCATTAATTAACGCTATTGCTGATAAGACAGATATTTTTGCCTCTTCTTCATTGCAAAGTTGAATTAAGTCAGATAAGATGGAGTGTGTTAGGTAAATCAACTTTCCACTGTATTACACTCTGCATTTTGATTGCAACATGACCTCTATGGTTTTATTGCAATGAGAACCTTTTGTATGCCTCTTTTTAAAAAAGGACAGATTTGTAGAACCCATAATTCCTCAGGTTAATTGTGGATTTGCAATGTCTTGGTTAGTTAGCAAATGTATCATTTCAAGGTAAATTTAATTTGTGCGAAAAAAAAAAGAAAAAAAAAAGCTTAAAGGCTATGATTTTTTTTCCGCAAGCCACTGTGTACGATTTCCTGCCTGGATATTGTCACCGTTTTCCTCAGGAGCTCCTCTTTCAGGTGAGCCTCAGGTGATGACTCAGGTAAAAAGAA